ACTGCCTTGGCTAGTTTCATTGCCTCGGCTTCGTCTCGGCAATGAAATGCTAACCGCGGAAGTAAATCTGTTACTTCTCTGCCTATTTAAACAAATAACTATACTTTTAATAAAAAAGATCCTCTGTAAATACACATTTAAAAAATGTTAATTATTTCTCTATAAATTATTTAAAAATGTATAAGGACATTGAATTGTGAAAAATTGTTTTTGGCTCATTGCGGATGCTTATTCTTTGCATAGTGTAATTTATTGTCTAACAACATACACAATTTTAATTACTTACTTCAACTACACCTTGTAAATAGTCGACATGATTTTGACCCATATCAGAATATCCTGTTTCATTTATAGATTTTGACTTATATTCGTTACTTTTGTAAGCGTTCCGTTTTGAAAGAGTTTGATATCCGGAATACTGATAGTTATAGTGATCGGTTGGTTAATCTTTCAAGGTTAATAGTATAATTTTTACTTGAACGAATTCATGGTTTATGTTATTGTGCCTGCTGTCTTAGATCTTGAACAAGAGAAGGGATTTTTTCAGGTGGAAAAATACTAAGGTAGGTCTTGAACTTGAAATAGAGTTGAGGTGTCTACGTGACCAGCCGTTATTCTAAATCACAAGCATATCATTGTACTCTATTCTGCGCAGGAGCTAGTAACTTCTAAAAATGTGTTTGATGTAAACAAATCTTATGTTTCAATAGGGCTAGATGTTCATTTAAAATGATGGTTTGTTTGATATTTAATAGTTTAATTGATTCAAACATATTTTATAACGTTGAAAACTAATATTTTTTTAAATATAAATAAAAATCTAACAATTATTAGTTAACACAGGCAACCAGTTTCAGCTCGGTAGCTATCTGCAGGTCTAAAAGGGAGATATATACAATATGTTAACCCATGAATCCTTCGAAATAAAAATGAAATGATATATAAAATGAAAATTAGACATTAAAGCAAAAAAAGAAAGTATATCTAAAATACCTACCGATAATAATTCTAAAATAAATTTTCTCAAAATCTACAAATATAAAATAAGCGCCATCATCAAGAGTATTATCGAACTCTGACCTACCTGCCAATATATATTTTTTTACTAGGTCACGAGTTTCAACCCTGAATTTCATCGACATGAAACCATAATAGAGTGTCTACACATCCTCAAACATCTTCAAACATGATTCGTAACCACTTCATGTCAAACGCAGGACGATTGCAGGGTTGTTCTACACGATAAAGCTCATTATAAGTATTTATTTCAAAATGATTTATATGTTTAGTGAATTACATTGAATTAACGTATACTAAATGTATTACCAATAAATTATACCTCAAAGATAATGAATAATTATTGGTACCTATAGTCTGAATAAAGAAGAAGGGCAGTAAAAGTGGAGATATAGCAACACATTCCATAGGCGTACTTTGCAAAATAAGTTTCTATAATATAAATAAGGTCACGGCACATAAAAAGGTACTGGGTCTTCAACAATACCGAAAACCCACGTGACCAAATCGTCATGACAGCGATTGGTGAAAATAAAAGTAAAAATCCCTAAATTTGAGCCAGTGCCGTAGGTATTTTATTACAAATAGAAAATAGATCTTCTTTTTTTATGGTCTGCAACTACGAGAACACAATTCAGTTAGGTAACTGTTAGAATTACAACACAAATTCATAATATTAATTAGAGGTGCTTTACATTATTGTATTTTAATGTTAGAATTCGATATTTTAATTAGATTTAATCAAATTCAATAATCTAATTTTCTAAATTATGATATAAATAATATAACCTTAAAAACTGAGCTGTTTATATCTAGTTTGTATTTAACGAAAAGAATAATAAACTGAAATATGGTTCGTACTAGTTATTGTCACTACTACAAAAAAAACCTTTACCAGAACAGGGCACAAAAAAGTTATGGATAAAAATGTTATGCAGTAAAATATGAATAAAATTAAAAATTATTTACTTTAGATTGACTCTTTAAGGGCTAATTCCACCGTTGTGTTAAACGGAGATTAAAATGACATTGTTAATGTAAAAATGTCATTTTAAACTTCGTTTAACACAACGGTGGAATCGGTCCTAAGATATTTAGCTACAGCTATAACTCTAAATACGATAGGCAGAAGACAATGGCAGTATTTGGCTATTATTGCAATTTAAGTAAACAAATTTAAGACTTACTGGAATTGAACCTGGATAATGGGAAGTAATAAACACATAATTTAAGTTTGTTCTATTATTTATTTGTTACAGGATTTACAAAATACATTGTTACTTATATGCATACAAAAAAATATTAATATTATTAATATAACAAGCACATATTTGTTTTACCTTACAGCTCTTACTTCTCACTTTAAATTATAAAGGCATATCTATTAACAACTATTTTATTTAAAAGGATATTGAGTAATAATCGGTGGTGCACAAACTAATTCATACTAATTCACAGTACCTATCTGTTCAAAATCTTAATCACCAGCTTTAATGCAAGCATTAAACCTTCTTTTTTGAACACATTATGCAGTTTCTCCTCAGTTATATTTTGTATATCATTCAATATAGGTGCTCCAATTCATAAACATCACAAACGATTTTGAATTGAGCGATCTGTAATATTCCATATGTAGTTTTAACAAAATTAAGGTAAAATGATTGTTGCAGTATCCAAACTTTATAGGGGCTGCATTATCAGATTTTTTTTTAACTTTATGGCTAGTTCGTAGTGATGAACCTAAAAAAAATATGTTTTGAATTTCACTCGCCAGAGTCAGTCTTTAAAACACCGTTCATACCTGTTTGAGGTGCTGTTTTTTTTTACTAATTTATTGGGAATTTACAACATGTTAATTTGCACATCTTCAACAGCTTTTGTTATTACTTTGGGCATTTTAGACCTTTTTCCTTTTTTGAACAAGTATTTGTTTATGACGACAAAAAAGAATCACATTCCATTTATTCACCTGGAAAACGTTCCTCAAATTTTCGAATAATTTTGTTCCAGTATAACATTACCTACAATAAATTATATAGTCATTAACTTTTACGAGTTACAGTAAATAAATTTGTACTTACCAAAAAAAGAAGCCACCAATATTCTCTAAAAATAACTAATCTCTTTATTAATATTAAATGAAAAATGGACTAAGGGTGTTTACAAAATGTAAACAAATATAATATAAATATTGTCAGTCCCCAAATGAACGCCAGTGACATTTCTGACAGGATTGACAGTTCAGTTTAGTTCCTTTTACGTCAAATCAGGCCCTTTCGATGGGTTTTTGATGGTTATCAGATCACGTGGGTTTCGGGTATTGTTGAAGACCTGGTATATACGCACTCCGTAGATTAAATTTTGAATGAAAAAAGTTATATTTACAAAAAATAAAAATAAACCTGGTTCTGACGAAATTGTTGCACTTTAACATTGAACGAATTAAATCTAACCAAAAAATAACAAGTATTATATGTTGTTAATGTGATTAAACTTTTTTAGTCTCTTGGTATTAAAAGTAACACTTAAAATCAAAGATTAAAAAAATAAAAAGTTCAAGACCCATCTTTAAAAGTAACTGTCTTCACTATAACTACTGGTATTATCATTATCTTTCTACCTTTTTAACATCATCAATGCATTTTCTCGAATATTCTCTATTTACATCTGAAACTGCCTTCAAAAACAAAGGACCAGGCAGCCGGCTTATGGAGAAATGGGTTCCGGTTAATATGCCTGAATTTTAGCTATGTTGAAGATATCGACTTCCTGACCAATAGTGTTAATGGGCAGAACTCAATCCTATGGCCAGTTTTCAACATACAGGGTGATGAAGTTGAAAAATGTCAATTTTTTAAAACGTATTAAAATGTAATTTTCTCAATATATTAAGAATTTTTTGCTGTAATAGTATTCTGATAACATCATTTAATATTGCTTTGTGTAGAAAAAGTTATTATTTGATACAGGGTGATTCAAAAATCAAAAAAAAAAATTATTGATGCTGTGTATTCTACTTTACAGTGGGAATATGAAAATATTAATATTTGGTCTGAATTAACTTTAGTTGGACTTATTATAAGAAGGTATAAAAACATTTTATATAGGGTGAGTCAAAAAGTTGATTGACTCTGCAGGTTACTTTTAATACAATTTTATATATTTTGTAATACAAGTCAGTAGGCGACATTGAATCATTTTCAAAAATATTTAATTTATAAATTAAATACAGGGTGATTCAAAAGGTATATAAGGTAGAAAATTACGAAAATTGATTTTTTCTGCGAATTACCCTGTAATTTAATATTTCCTTCGTTAATTTCTCTAATTTTTTCTTATTGTCTTTGATTTGAGTTTGTTAGTCCCCTATAGAAGTTTTGCGAAGTTACTATGATCAGTTTTTTTATATCGACTTTGTGATGACAAGGCTGTCACAATGTATACGCTTATACCTGAGCTCATAAATACGTTTTTATTTTATTTAATCATTCAGGATTTATGTCATTCTGTTTAAGGAAATATAAATAATATGTAACGTATAAACAAACAAGGTATTAATATTATTAGTAAGCCAAATATCCGAAGATGCAAATATTGTTAGTGAGCCAAATATCCAAAGACGCAAATATTATTTTTTTTATATACATAATATTATCTGCAATCAATTCGAATAAGTTACTTATATAGGTGTAGTGTATGTAAATTATAAGTAATAAACATATTAACAAACATATGAACCCGTTTCCTCACCACCATAGAGGTAGAGTTCCCGGCGCGTTTTTTTAAGTGGTGTTCTCAATAGGCCTAATCCGCTTTAACCTGGGAAATGCAGGTCTCTTGTAATGTAATAAAAGATACATTTATATAAAAATACTTAGGAAACGAATATTATAACAAAAATAACTACATGTGTAGAATTTAATCCAAGTCAATTAAGAAGAAACAAACGAAATGAACTAAAGTTAGCTAGGTACTGAAAATATTTAAATTTCTACAAGTTCTGGACCATGATCAATATTTTCTGGTAGCATCCTTTCAGCTGCATCAGTAATTTCATTTAAGAGTTGAATAGATGGATATCTCATATTTTGTTCATATCTAGCATAACCCAAAAACCATAATACACTGGCCACATGAGCACATGTTCCTAAAGTTCTAGCTTCCGACTTACAAGTACAATAATAGTGAAGTTCTAAAGGTTGATGATCGACATTTTCGTCAATCGTAAAATATATCCACAACATATACTTACATATATTACGAAATCTGGAGTACACTCGGATTCGTGAAATGCTCGGATCCTCCACCAATTCGTCAAATTGAAGAATATTAGTTTCTTCTCTTTGAAGTTTATCTTGAATATAACTTTTTGCCAAGTTTACAGGATAAATTCCAGTCAGCTGCTTTAAATAGTGTAAATCTAAACGGGGAACTCGTATTTGCATCTTCGGATATTTGGCTTACTAATAATATTAATACATTGTTTGTTTATATGTTACATATTATTTATATTTCCTTAAACAAATAACGTTATAATAACATAAATCCTGAATGATTAAATAAAATAAAAACATATGTATGAGCTCAGGCATAAGCGTATACATTGTGACAGGCTTGACATCACAAAGTCGATATAAAAAAGCTGATCATAGTAACTTCGCAAAACTTTTATAGAGGACTAACAAACTCAAATCAAAGACAATAAGAAAAAATTAGAGAAATTAACGGAAGAAATATTAAATTACAGGGTGATTCGCAGAAAAAATCAATTTTCGTAATTTTCTACCTAATATACCTTTTGAATCACCCTGTATTTAATTTATAAATTACATATTTTTGAAAATGGTTCAATGTCGACTACTCACTTGTATTACAAAATATATAAAATTGTATTAAAAGTAACCTGCAGAATCAACTTTTTGACTCACCATGTATAAAATGTATTTATACCTTCTTATAATAAGTCCAACTAAAGTTAATTCAGACCAAATATTATTAAAGTTGAAGGTGGTAGCCATGTGTGAATTATAAGTTCAAAAAGGTAAATCAAACGAGGGTGGTCCTTAGGATCTCACAAGAGTATTTTATTACGACCGGTTTCGAGGATCAAATCCTCATCATCAGGTAAGGTCTAAAAATAGAGAGGAAAAACGAATGAGCTCATAACTAATAAGTGGGTTTAAACATTTTAATATGAAAGTTGTCAAATATCAAGAACTCACCCGTAATTACTCATCTATTTAAGACTAAGCTAAGAGAATTATCCCAGGGTCGGCGTAAAAACAAGTATGCGAGTATTTTTTAAAATACATAAAAAATATAAAAAAACAATAGTTGCAACAAAAAGTTGATGTCAAAACACATAAACAAAAGTAGGTCTAAAACTATTAATTAAAATTATTAAAATATTTCACGAACGGACGAACAATTAAGACAAACAAATTTAAAAACTTTTTAAAAAACCCTACAAGCACTAAAATGGGTTCTTGGACAAGTGTTTATAATTCTACAGGAATTAAATTTTATTTAGATTAATAACTGATTAACGCCCTCAAGATATAAATAGACGAATTAACCATTCTAATATTTAAGATAACAGTTTAGAGGTTGTCAAATTTAAATATTTTGACCATCGGCTAATAGATGGCGTTGGCGAAAAAATAAATGTTTCTTAATAATAATATAGGTTTATAAAATGAATTGTTTGAATTTGTACGTAATAAACAAAATGAAATAAATAAATTATTATTGTTAAAAGTAGAGTCTAGCATTAGCGTTGGAAAATAATTTTAGATGTAATAATATTCAAATTAAGAAGTTGGTAACAATCAACGGAAAAGGAAATGGTGTTAAAATGAAAAGAGAGAAAAACTATTGATTTGGTTAATTATTTTTTTTTTTTTGAAGTAATGTGCTGAAAAATGAAAATGGAAAAAGAGACAGAATAAAAATAAGGAATAAGATAAGTATAACTAATAATTTCATAGGGAAATTTTAAAGTAAAGGGGGGGGGGGTAATTTAAGGGAAACGTAGATTTTTAAAAAAGAACTGAGAACGTGGGTGTGGATTCGGAAAAAACTTGTGAGTTTAGTGATAATGCATTGTTACTTTTTCTTAATCTAAATATTTCTAGGTTCTCCAAATTATTCAATATCAACTTGTTGTGGCAAATATGGAGTACCCTAAAGCCATCCCCTGAGTCAAAATCGTGATTGGACTCTACTAGATGGGTGGCAAAATGTGAGAAGCCGGTTGTGGCAGTATTCAAACATCTTAAATGTTCTTTAAGTCTAGTCCTAAAATTACGAAAGGTTCTACCTACATATTTGGCTGGGCAAGACTTACAACTGAGTTCATATATGCGTGGTTGATCCATGATGTCCACTTTTTTATTCTTGATGAAAAAGTTACTAATTGAGTTGGAGGATTTAAAAGAAAGTGATTTTTGAGGATATTGGAGACTTTATAAGAAATATTTCCAATATAGGTAAGTGACATATACTTACTAATGCTAGCCTCTACAGGTATAGGGTTAGTTATAAGTGTTGTATTTTGAATAATTCTATTTTGTTTTTTACTCAACATTTTATCGATTAAACTGTGATCATAATTGTGTAGATGAGCTATGTTTTTTATTGTGTTAAGTTCTCTATTGTAGTTTTCAATGGATAAAGGTACTTGTAATAGACGTTCTAAATAACAATTAAAGGAAGCTAATTTATGAGAGATGGGGTGATTAGATAAATTATCTATTACTACTCCTGTATGAGTGGGTTTTCTATAGATATCAAAACTTAATTTAGAGTCATTGTTATGGGATATTTTTAAATCTAAAAAGTTTATAGATTTATATACTTCGGTTTCTAAAGTAAACTTAATGTTGGTATGTAGAGAGTTAACATGAGACAAGAAATCATTCAATGAGTCTTTGCTACCAGTCCATAGTATTATTATTTATTCAAATATTATTATTTTTATATTCCCACTGTAAAGTAGAATACACAGCATCTGTTTTCAGGCCCTATTGGTGGAACATCAGTGGTCATCAACCACTTAGGGTTTGATGATAAGCCAACCAATAATATACACACTAACGACTTAAAAAGTCTGTTTTTCCCAAAAGGCGCAATATTTATGGATTCCCTAAGTTACCTGTTGCTTTGAGGTTCAGTAAAACTCAATTAAAAATTAACTTTCAATATATTAAAATTAGTAAAGATCACAAGTACAAAAGAACAAAAATTATGTTAAAATAAAAACAACCTTGTGTAATGAACAACCTATTATTAAAGTGGTAAAAACTAAAACCAGTCAAGTAAGTTGTTAATACCTGCAGTCAATTGTAGCTATTGGAATAAAAATAGTCAAAACAATACGATACGTGTTTTGTAGATCATGCACCTGATCCACCGTTCAACCCAGTTGCGGCAGCTCCGCAAATGGCCCACACGCAGCGACACAGTACACCATATCAGTGAAGCGAAGCACCATAGACCAAATGTCCAACCTCAGACAGGTTCAACTCTAGAATCACCAGGCGCTCCAACGTGGTTACTAAAATGCCTTGAGGCACTCAATATGGCACATAACTAGCCAAGAAGAGCCAGAATTTTGTAAAAGCGAAAATCTAATGTCAGAATTAATTTTTTACTTGTTACTTCGACATTTCTTGGTTGCCCCATGCAACTAAGGATTGTACAGGGTGGTAGTGCCAAAAATTAACAATTAAATTATTATGACTAAAGGTGACACTAATATTTAACATAATATTATACAAAGAGTTAAAATAAAGAAAATTGTAGCCAAATGTTGTGAGGTTTCACAACAGCATCAATAATTTTTTTTGGCGATTTTTGAATCACCCTGTATCAAATAATACTTTTTCTACACAAAGCAATATTACTTGATGTTATCAGAATACTATTATAGCAAAATATCCTTAATATATTGAGAAAATTACATTTTAATACGTTTTAAAAAATAGCCATTTTTCAAGTTCATCACCCTGTATGTTGAAAACTGGTTATAGGATTGAGTTGTGCCCATGGACACTATTGTTCAGGAAGTCGATATCTTCAACATACCAAAAATTCAAGCATATTAACCGGAACCCATTTCTCCATAAGCCGGCTGCCTGGTCCTTTCGCACATCAAGTAATTTAAATGTTGTATTGTTTCGAGAAACATAACCTTTTAATTGTGACCAGATCAGTTCAATGAGATTTAACTCTGCTTAGTAAGGAGGCAATTTGAGAATTTGAATAACTTTTTCTCTGGCCATCTCGTCTATAATATATTTTTTAAATTTGTTTTTATTTTGCCTTGCTATTACGAGTAATTCTGCCTTCAAGGATTTAGGAGGACTAATAATATTTTTAGAATGAAGCCATTTGAAATAACTTCTTTTTTTGATCTTTTTGATCGACTGAGGTACGATGAATTAATTATCCAAATCAATAACAGAGTTGGCTGGAATTTTTTTTATAATATCCTTAAACCAATGTTCAAACTGTAAAGGTTGGAACCGTTATTTCGACACAACCACCTTTTACTAAAATGTCATTTGTCGTCTTGTGAGATTTTTTTAATTTGGTCGTTAGCGACAATCAACTAGATTTCATTTTAATTAATCTTGGTCATCCGAAGTACTAAATGATTTTTATCTATCGTAAAATCCGTCTAATTCTATAAGCATGGCTATATCTAGACGGTTTTGAATTCCTTTCAAGATGTTTTATGGTTTTTATACCTAGAAGTTTGTTTTGGTTTTGGTTCAATCTAAAGACAGTTGTTTAATTCATCTCTAGAAGATCTAGACAGTTTTGAGTTTAAGTTAGAATACCAAATATCACGAGATCATTCACGTTGCAGAATTACGAATAAGGATCGCGAATCCCTATATGGAAGTTGCCTGATGATATACTATGCGATAACCCAGTTTTATATTCCTTATATTGCCTTCATTTACCAAAAGATAAGTGCTATTTAATAAATCATCTTAACTTTGAATTTAGTAAAACTATGTTAATTAGAATTTGCTACTACCTTATCTACAGCATGGTTAAAATATTATTTGTTAGTGGTTAGTGATTTTCTATATTTTTATCACTAATCTAGAGTCAAGTATAGTAAGCTTTAAATATAGTGATGCCCAACTTCTTTTTCAAAGTTATTCGAGTTATTTAATAACCTAATCCGCGCCCTATCAATTGAGCTCAAACACATTAAACAAATAGATAGAATAACTAGAGATCACGTTACAAAATATAGGGCCATTAATTTCTTCATTGTAATCTTTTGTTTTCTTTGACTCTAACATTAATAAACCCTCTGGCAAAAATCCATAGGTGCTTCCAATGTGGGTTATTATTAAACGATTTCCTTTTCCTGTTGAATTTTTTAATCCAAAAGAGACCCCTTCCATAAAGGCTTGTTTTTTAGTTT